TTTCTTTTATAATATCATGGCTTTTTGTTGTAAGCAAATCTAATGTGATCTCTGCAGATATTTTAGATGGAAGCTGGCATGGATCTCTGGTTACTTTGGAAGATGGAATTTGACTATGGATTGATATTATTGTTTTCCTGTCCTTCCCCATCTGTTTCCATAATATTTTTGGACAGATGGGGAATTCATTGTAAATCTGGATCCTACATGCACCAAAGAACAACCAAGGCAGGCTTTGTTCTTCCTACTGCTGCTTTAAGTAATTGCTTTGCATTTTACAGAGATGTGCTCTTTTGAAGCATATGTTTTTTGGTTCAATTGTTTTAGTTGAAGTGCTCTTTTGCAGGATGGAACTCAATACTAATCGTCGTACATTCGATTTAGAACCATCGAACTGTTACTCCGATTTGATTCTTGGATTTCGATTCAAATCCAACCGTGCTGATGGCTATTTCAAGCAAATCCACATCTTTTTTAGGTGAAAATAGTTGAAGCGCGGATATCTTAATCTATTCCGCTTGCTTTCTCTCGCCCATCTCTACGCGTGAGATACTTGATTGGCACCGTTAAGATTCGTGCTGGAAGGGGTGATGAGGAGCAACAGCGTCCCTCGGCATCGCACGCGAATCGCAATTTGATGGAGAGTTCCAATTTGACGTGTCGGCCGTGATCTATCATCAGGCGGTCCAGGACCGACCATCACAATCCATCGGGCAAGCACAACCGTCCGATCCCAGGTGTGATCGTGAGCCGGTCGTCCAATGCTCCACCCACCTCATAAAGCTCCGCGTTTGGCTGCTCCGCCCAAATCACAGTAAACGAAACGGATCCCCTCCGTTTGTTAGGGGGAAGAGCGGAAGACTAGCAAGAAGAGAGGAAGACGGGGTGGTTATCCGACCTGCCGTCTCTCTCTTCTCCCTCGCTTCCGCTTACGCTTCGTGGTAGTTTAGGGGGATCGCGGTGAAAGCCGATCCGCCACCGCTGAGCTCGATGGGCATGTTCCGCCGCCGCCGCCGGCCGCCGCACCCGCGGTCGCGCCGCGGCGCCGGATCGCTCCTCTTCTCGTTCCTGTTCGTTGCTGTCTTCTTCGGGCTCGCTTACTTGGCCGGGGCCGGGGACTCGGAGGCGGCCAACGCGACGGAGCCGCTCAAGGGGGAGTCGGCTAAGGAGGGCAGCTTCGCCGACATGATCGACCGCGCGCTCCAGAAGGAGTTCCCCGAGAGCGAGCAGAATGGCGGAGGTCCGTATAGATCTGAGCTCCTTTACTCTTTTGTTCGTTGTTCCTGTGGCCGGTTTCTTGATGCGTGCGTGCAAATGTGATATGGGAGGAAGATGATTAGGGTTCTTGAAGGTTGGATCGATACTTCTTTCCTTGGTGGTTGCTGATCTTGGTTCTTGATTTCGGTCCTTTCATGAACGAAGTGGGCGTTCGCGATTCCTTCTAGTGGTTGCGGATCTTGGTTCTTGATTTCGGTCCTGAGTTCGTGCCTTCTGGTGGTTGCGGATCTTGGTTCCTGATTACGTGAACGACGTGGGTGTTTGGGATCCCTTCTGGTTTCTTTTCCTAGTAAAAGAATTAAACCTTCTTGCTTCATCAATCAGGGTGTTTTTTTTTTCCTTTAAAGCTTTGCTTAAGTTAAATCGTGAAACCTGTTTCTTTTCGAAATTCTTGGATGCTGAAATTGCACAATGGACTTGGACCTGTGGAGAACCGGAGAATGGGAATTATACGGCCTTTTGTTAGGGCTGCTTTACAAGTCCATTTGTAAGATCTGAACTTCAAATTTATCCTGGCTCCCTGGAATGTTGTTCACATTTGAGCGTGTCTAGCCTGGTTATGCTATATCGGTTGATGTGTAATACTTGAAAAGATTATGCCAGCTCCAACAGACCGTTCACTCGTTGTTTTCTGATCCTTCACGTTCCAACCATCAGATTTATCTGCATTGCTATTTAGGAAGATGCACAACATATTTCGACTTTATTTTGACTACAACTGGATTTTTTTACATGTGTAAGAAAATCAATTTAACCATTTTACTTCTTCTGCAGAAACCGACCCTGGTGGCTTCAACAACAGTGTTGCTGAGAAACAGGTATAACTTGTGCAAACATAAGTAATTTGATTCTAGATGAGTTTGATATATTGATTATGTTTCTCTTCTTGCATATAAGCAACAAGGTTCACTGTTTTCCTTCAGTTACGTACAAGCTAGCTGTTTCTTGCTGTCTTTGTCTGTGAATTTTTTCAAGACGATGGCTCCAGTACGTCTTTAAATGGTCGACTTTTATTGATGGATGTTACGTCTTTGTAGTTGTTGCTAGATGAATTTATTCATCTTATTTGATACATTATGCCATTGAGACTAGCATTATCTGGCTGGTTGAGTTGAGTTTTTCTTTTGATACTAACTATCTTATGTGGTAGCCTAGTAGGAGGCAGATCTCTAAGTTGGAAACCTTATATAGGTGAGCATGTTTGAAGTAATTTTGGCTAGAAAAACAGGATCTAGCTCGCTGTAGTTTTATACTATGGAGGATCAATGCCTGTGGAATATTGTTTTTGAGTTATTACTATCGAGCTGCCACATCTGGGCATAAACAAACCATGCGAAAATCTATTGTTTGCTAACATATGCAGATGCAATTTATGGTGGACATAAAATCTGCATGCAGTTTATGGTGTTATGTTGGTTGAACTAAGATAATAAAATTGCAGCTTATGTTGTATTTATAGGCATATTCAGATTTAGGTTTCTGTTAGAAACAAACATGATGCCTGAGAAAAATTGGTAATTTAAAATGAAAAGAAAAAAGATGAATGATGACCAAGAAACCATGGTGACAGGATCGATCAGTTTCTCGATCAATTTATATTCATATATTTCTGATAGTTGCCAGGGAAACTGAACCATTTATGGCTTAATATCTACCTCGCATCTTGCATGTACACTATGTGCAGTTTCTATTTAGCTACTCGCCTTGGTGGTTATACCACTGACTGCAGTATTGCTACCTATCTATTTGGGAGCAGATTTTTTCGGTGAATGTTTCTTGTTTAGTTTGTAGGTATATATTATCTGGCATTCACTTGTTCTTAGTTGTATTTGTTTTCATTTAAGGGCTGCTTTAGTGCTTATGCTGCTGCTTGATACTGAATTTACTTGAGAATAGTATACATGGTGAAGTTCCATTGGCTTGAATGTTGATTACCATTACTTAGATATCTTTTTTTGATAAATTGACATTTGGCAATATTTATTCTGAGAACTTGAGGTGGATAATTATATAACTTGAGTCAATTTGTCTGCTTTTCTTTATCAGGCAGTTCTTGAGACTGTAGCTAGAGTTACAACAAAGAAGAATGAAACCAAAGAAGAGAAGTATGTGACTCTGCCTTGTAAAATATTCTTTGGTTATATTGCTTCTTTTTATCCTTTGGAACTAGTTATGTCTTTATTTCCATCTTTGTTTAGTTAAAAAAGAAAATTAATCATGAAGGATGATTTTTTTTTATCCATCTTATTTTGCTTTCCAGGTCATTTCAGTTTCATGATGTTTTTAATCTGGATAATGAGAATCGAGCAGAGGACATACCCACGTTAATTGATCGTAAGGTACGTATAAGTTTGTCAAAAACCCTAAAGCATATGTTTAAGGAATTTTTGTTATATGCACTGAAATAGTTGGTCTGTTATTATTTTTTCTTATATTTATTTTGACTGTTAATGTGTTAGTGAATTTACTCAATCAATAATAGTCTTGTATAACAGGATAATGTTTTCATCATATCTAATCCCAAGTCAAAATATCCAGTACTACAGTTAGACTTGAGGTAAGCATTACTAGATCATGAGAGAATTACAGAGGTCTACTACCTTGACTTTGTTTGAGTGACATAACACAACATTATTGCGTAGGTTGATTTCTGATCTTGTGGTGGTCATTGTCTCTGCAACATGTGGTGGAATTGCATTTGCCTGTGCAGGACAGCCAGTAAGTAACAGAAAAAGATGATCTGTTTTCTTAAATTCATTCATTGATTTTAAGTAGTCAGTGAGGTTTCCGTGGTCCATTTTATTCTTCATTATGGCCTCTATCTGCAATTTCCTATTTTGCATGTTATTATTGTCATCTACATGGGACACATGTACTGATCCATGAAACATTACAGGTAATTACTGGTTACCTACTTGCTGGATCCATTATCGGTCCTGGAGGTTTTCGCTTCATTAGTGAAATGGTGCAAGTAAGGTGCTTTCGCTTTGTTGAACATTACACCCTTTTTTTTTGTCAAAGTAATGTGACTCTGGCCATTCACTTTGACTAGTCTCCTTTGTTGTTGCTATGTGATTTGGATCTGAGTCACTCTGACTATTCATTTTTATGTATTTGGAAAAAAAGTAATGCTTTTTACTGTCAGAATTGGTTACAATGAAAACCCAACAATTGTTTTCTGAAAGACGCATCAACAAAAAGTTTTGGCCTGATTGGCGATGTATAAACTATCTATCAAGTTGTTATTAAAACATTTGCGAGTATAAAATTTGTTCTATATGCTGCTTGCAAATCATCTTATGCATATGGGTGAACTTAACTGCACTGGCACTTCTTCATGTAGGTTGAAACAGTAGCCCAGTTTGGTGTAATTTTTCTACTTTTCGCCTTGGGTCTGGAGTTCTCTACAACTAAGGTATTCTTGGCAAAGATCTTTTGAGTTTGGCTTACTTGATCTTGAAGGTTTGCACAAGTTATAATGCTAGATATTGATTCTAGCTAGTTGCCCTTGCATTGCATTTACAGCTTCGAGTTGTTCGGGCTGTGGCTATTGTTGGAGGGTTTCTCCAAATTGCTCTATTCATGTGTTTGTGTGGAGTAATTGCTTCGGTATGTTTCAACCTTCCTTTTAATAGTAGTGTACTTGGCATTATCCTCATTAGTATCATATGATGCATGTTAATTAATTTACCTTAGCTGCACTTTGTGAGTTAGTTTGTGTTGCACTTTGAGGTGTATAATGTATAATGCCCTTGTTCAGTTGTAATGGCACCTGGAAAAACATTTATGCGCTCAACTCATCGAGGAACCATCCTTTCGGTACAGTTCATACTGTGTTGTGAGAAGTCACTGATATCAGTGGCTTCTTCAGATTGCTGATTAAAACTCGAGGGGTTGATTGTTGATTAAAGTCCGTGCTGCTTATATTGCTTCCCAGTAAATATATCTGCCTTTCTCACCAACAGTTGCTAGAAAACTCCATCTTCAGCTTTTACCATTGGTGGTCTTCTCCTGAAGAAGACTGTTTATAGCTCTTGTTGTCTGTGACATTTTGTAGCTTGTAGAGCTGCCTTTTCTTGTTGCCATCCTATTCTATGCCCTTCTCATATAAATATTATTTTCCTGTAGCTACTGATTGGTAATAAGATATAGTACTTTGTAGTATTGAAATTTCTGTGCCTCGAGCTTTATTTATTTTCGGTTGCACTGTACAATTTGCACTATCATGCAGTTATGCGGAGGCAAAACTTCAGAAGGAATATTTGTTGGTGCCTTCTTGTCTATGTCATCTACTGCCGTGGTGAGTTGCAAAAAATGGTAGTTGTTTATTTAACTTACTAATTTTTAATTCTTCTTGTCTTGTTACGTTACCAATTCTTGAAATGTCCCAAAGAACAAGTAATGCTTCTAGTTTAAAGTGCATGAGAAACAAAAACAACATGATCCTCCAAGATCATCGGAAGCAATTTTCTAACGATGCAACCTATTTGTGCAGGTTTTGAAGTTTTTAATGGAAAAAAACAGCATCAATGCCCTTCATGGTCAAGTTACTGTTGGGACCCTCATACTCCAGGTATTTTGGATTCAATTTTGAAGTTGTCCTGGAGTGCTTTTCCACTTGTGCTCTTTGCTTGGAGTCGATATCAATTTTAGAAGTTCAAGAAATTTACAACTACAGATATAATCGTTTCTTCAGTCGATTACTATATGTTTGTCATAGTTGAAGTTTGTTTTGTGCTAGGATTGTGCTGTTGGCTTGTTGTTTGCACTACTTCCAGTTTTGGGTGGCACATCTGGTGTTCTTCAGGGCCTTATATCAGCTACGAAGTCGTGAGTAACACGTGGCCTCATGTTGCTTTTTTGCTCTATTTGTTTACTTTTGCATGCTGCTTTTTTGTTACCTGCAAGCGGTCCACTTTTCTGGCTGCTGAATTTATCCAAAATGATAAAGCAACATAGCTTCTAAAGTTGTTAGCCTCCCCACTTTTGCCAACAAATAAAAAGAAAAACACCCACAAAAGAGAAATCAAATCAGGAAAAAGAAGCTTCCTTTTCATGTTCATCCTTTTGTAATCTGTCTCCTGGCAGATACTGTCTGCCTCTGGATTTTTGGTATCTCCCTTTTATTGCTCTAAGAAATTTAAATGTCCATGAATGGATGATGGACTTTTCTTCATTCAATATGACTTTTAAGTCCTTGTGTTTTTTATTACAATCCTTGCAATTCATATCTTTCATATACTAGTTAGTCCTTGTGTTTTTTATTCAATGCCCAAGAGTCAAGTTTGTATAAGGCTTATGGGAGGTTATGATTCTTGCAACACATGGGAGTCAAAGGACAAGCATCCAACACCATAGCAAAACTCATCTCTCAATCCCACGATCTAGTCCTTGCACGCTTCATTTCTCACAAGCGGCACTGGCTGGTGATTAAGATTGAAGTGGCTACGAGTGTCCATCTAGCAATATCGGACTATATCATCTGGTGTGGGCGGTATGTACCAGTTCGCTAACAAATCGGCACGCGGACCGCCCGTTACCGGGCGATATCAAGCTTTGGGCCCCGACGGGTTGTACGGATATGAAGCACCGACGGGTTGTACGGCCTCGCCCCATTGACATTGATCAGGTTGGAGTTGAGGGGAGCGTCGGGCACGGCCCACCCGAACCCCATCTGCTCGTTGGGGAGCTCAG